GTTTTCGAACAGGGTTCTCTAACTTTTTTGGTCTCTAAGAGGCAGACCAAAAACCTACTCAACCTGTTTCTCTAGGGTGTGGTTTTTAAATTCTTCGGTCTTAAGATCTCTTGACACTCTTACAAATTATTGAGGACCCCAAAGAACATTAATACATATATAGTTACAGAGATTTACTATATTAGAAATTAAAATTGAGACACATTTGATATTCATTTTAAAATAATAAAACCATTGATTTTAACATTTTTATGAAAAATCACTTTCTAAAAAAAATGAAATGTAGTAAGAATGACATTGTTTTATTTTTTTTTGCAATTTTTTAAAATGTCAAGTTTAATAGAAAACTGGATTATTACATTTGATTCTGCATTCAATCTGCTATGAAATATTGCTATGGTTGAAGAATGTGCTGAAATCCAGCCTCATGACTGATATGTAATTGGAAAAGAAAAATGTTTTAACAGACCTCAGATAACCGTGGGTATCCGTCTTCAATTCCACACCAAAGTTCAGCAAGTGATAGTTTTGTAAAGGTTAGTTGCAATGTGGAATCTAAAATCACAGTTTGTTCTCTGTTATTCTAAAATCTGTTGATCTGTTTTGCACTTTGAATGGATCTTTTACCCATTTGTGATTTTGTGACTTCGATGTCATTTGGAAAGTATTAGTTCACTGAGATATGTAGATGTTCTAAATGTTGACAAATTTTATTATACAATATCGAATATCAAATATATCTATGCCTGTGTATCTATTTCTATCTATCTTAGTATTTTTGATTTTTCAGAAATCTTTAAGGATTGGGAAGCTGTTAAGCTTGTGGTGGCAGATTCACCTATTTCAAAATTCTTTCACTTAAAAGCTCAAATTTTATAACTGTTAATACTGTCATTTTTTTCTAAAGTAACAGGTTCACCTTGTTCATTTTCAAGAAAATTCCCAAATCTAAATAACCATAGTTTGTCTGTCAGTTGTACTCTTAAATGGTTTTCCTCTTTTCTTTTAAGCTTTTGACCTTCACCTATTTCTTAAATACACACAAAAAAGTAGCTAGTTCAGTTCATCACTCAAATAAGTACACAAATGCTTTTTCTCTAAATAAGCAGTGTACTTCCATATGCAGAAGTGTTTTAGATGTAAAGTCCCCATTTTGTCACACATCCTAAAATGACAGGTACTCAGGTATCAAGATTCAAAATGAATCATAGGCCTAAATGTAAAATACAAAATGATAAAATTCCTATAAAATATCAGGAGAAAATCTAGATGACTCTGGATATGATGATGACTTTTTAGACACAACACCAAAGGCATAATCTATGAAAGAAATAATTGATTAAATGGACTTCATTAAAATTTTAAAAATCCGTTCTGTGAAAGACGCTGTCAAGAGAATAAGACAAGCCACAAACTGGAAGAAAATATTTGCAAAAGATATATCTGATAAAGGATTGTTATCCAAAATATACAAAGAACACTTACTTCAACAATAAGAAAATGAACACCTGATTAAAAAATGGGCCAAGAACTTACTAGTCACCTTACCATTTACAGATGGCAAATTAACATATGAATGCTCAACATCCTCTATCATTAGGGAAATGCAAATTAAAAGAGTGAAATACCACTAAAAACCTATTAGAATGGCCAAAATCCAAACACACTAAAACTACCAAATGCAGGCCAAGTTGTGGAGCAGCAGGAAGTCACATTCATTGCTAATGGGAATGTAAAATGATACAGCCACTTTGGAAGACAATTTGACAGATTCTACAAAACAAACATACTCCTACCATACAACCTAGCAATCACACTCCTTGCTCTATCCAAATGAGTTGAAAACTTATGTCCACACAAAAACCTGCACACTGATGTTTATTGCAGTTTTAGTCATTATTTCCAAAACTTGGAAGCAACCAAGACGTCCTTCAATAGGTAAATAGATAAAATAAGCTGTGGTATAACCAGATGATAGAATATCATTCAGTGCTAAAGAAATGGGCTATCAAGCCGTGAAAAGACATGAGGACACTTAAAAGCATATTACTGAAAAAAAGCCAATCTGAAAAGTCTATATACTATATGATTTCAACCTCCAGACATTCTGGAAAAGGCAAAACTATGGAGACAACTTTCTGTTGTTAGGGTGGGGAGAAAGGGATGAATGTGTCGGTCACAGAGGATTTTTAGGACAGTGAAATCACCTTTATGATACCATAATGGTGAATACATGTCATGATACATTTGTTATAACCCATAGAAAGTACGACACTAATGTAAACTATACATTTTGGGTGATAATGATGTGTCAGTGTAGATTCATTGATTTTTAACAAATATTCCACTCTGGGTGGGATGTTGATAGTGGGGAAGGTTGAGAATATGTGGAGGCGGGGGGTATATGTTAACTCTCTGTACTTTCCCTTCAATTTTGTTATGAACCTAAAACTGCTCTAAAAAGTCTAAAAATAATTCATGAATCAAAAACTGATACAATTGCAAGGAGAGAGAAAATCTATCTTTGTAGTTGAAGATTTCAGTATTCTCTCAATGATTCATAGAGCAAGTAGACAGAAAAATCAGTAAAAATATGGACGACATAAACAACTTTATCCACCAAGTTGACCTAATTGATATTTATGCTACATTACCTCAACAGCAGCAGAATACATGTTTTTCTTTTCAAAAGCACATAAAATATCATGGGGCCATATAACACATCTTAATACATTTAGAAGGATTCAAGTCGCACAGAGTATGTTCTCTGACTACAATGGAATTAAAATAGAAATCTGTAAGAGGAAGATATCTGAAAAGTCTTCAAATATTTGGAAACTAGATAACACACCTCTAAATTGCACATGGGTCAAAAGAAATCAAAATTGAAATTTGAAATGAAATGAAATAACATATCAGAATTGCTGGGATTCTACCAAACTAGTACTTAGGGGGAATTTTATGGTACTAAAAACTTATATTTGAAAAGAATAAAACGTATTATGACATTGGCCTCCATATTAAGATATTAGGCAAAGAAGAACAAATTAAACCCAAAATACGCAAAAGAAGTGAAACATAGTAATAAGTATCAGAGTGGAAATCAATGAATAGAAAACAGAAAACCAGTAGAGAAAATCAAAGCATCGAAGGCTGGTTTAATATTTTGAGGTCAATCAACGTAAAGAAAAATCATATCAAATCAATACATGAAAAAAGGTAGTTGACAAAAGTTTAACATTCATTCCTAATTTAAAACAACAACTCTCAGTGGGTAATAGTAGGGAGCTACTTCAGCCTGATGAAGGCATCTAGGAAAAACCTTTAGTTAACATCACACTTAAAATGAAATACTAAATGCTTTCTCTGCACAATCAGAAACAAAGATGTCCACTCTCACCACTTCTATTCAACAATGTACTAGAGTTCTAGACAGTGCAGGTGAAAAAAAAAAAAAAGTTATCCACAATAAAACCTTCTGTCTTTGGAAATAACACTGTCATCTATATAGAAAACCCAAAGAAGCCACTGAAACTAGTGAGTTTTGCAAGTGTGTTTAGCAAAATCAGTATAAAAATATAAATTAAATGGTTATGTCCATCGATTAACACTCAGAAACTGAATGAATTTAAAAATGTTTAAATTGTCACTTACAGCATCATTTATTTTTTTTAAAGTAGGTTAAATCTGACAAAAGATGGGGTTAGATCTATTCGCTGAAACCTACAAGGCAATGCTGAGGAAATTAAAGAGTATGTAAATAAGTGGAAAGGTAGATTAATGGCAAATACTAAGATCTCAATTCTATCCCAATTGATATATATCTTAAACACAATCCCAATTAAAATCCTGTTCTTATAGAAACTGACCACTGATTCTATAATTCATGTGGAAATCAAATGAATTATAGCCTATCCAATTTTGAAAATGAAGAACAAAGTTGGTGGACTAACACTACCTGGTTTTAAAAGATTTATAAAGCCACAATAATTAAGATAATGTGGCATTGGTGCAAAGATATAGAGATATGTACATTTCCACCAGCAGTGTACAGGGATTCCAATTTCTCTACATCCTGGCCAATACCGTTGTTTTCTTGTTTCTTAATAACAGCTATTTTAATGGGTGTGAAGTTGCATCTCATTGTGGGTTTTGATTTGAGTTTCCCTGGTGATTAATGATACTGAGCATCTTTTCATGTGCTTGTTGGCCATCTGTTTATCTTTGGAGAAACGCCTATTCAAGTTCTTTACTCATTTTTACTTTCATTGTTGAATTCTAAAAGTTCCTTATACATTCTGAATATTGATTTCTCCTGAGATACACTTGCAAATATTTTCTCCCATTCTGTAGGTGTAGGTTGCCTTTTCACCGTTGATATCCTTTAATTCTTAATGAAATCCAATTTACCTATTTTTTTCTTCTGTTGCCTATACTTTTGGCATCATGTTCAAGAAAACATCGTCAAATTGAATTATGAAGCTTTCCCTGTTTTCTTCTGAGTTTTTATAATTTTAGCTCTTGATGTTTAGGCCTTTGATCCATTTAATTTTTGTACATGGTGTAGGATACGGGTTCGATTTCATTCTCTTTCATGTGGATATCAAGTTTTCCCAACATTTATTGAAAAGACTCCCCTTTCTCCATTGACTAGTCTTGGCACCCTTGTCAAAAATCATGACCTTATATGCAAGGGTTTATTTCTGGGCTTTCTTCTGTTCTGTTGGTCTATATTATCTGTTTATGCCATTACCATACAGTTTTATTACTGTAGCTTTGTAGAATGGCTCTTTTTATTTTTAAATACACACACTCTGTCTCACATTGAGTTCTTTTAATTGTCTTCAAGTGTTGCATGAGAGACCGGCACTCTCTGTAGTGCCCAAATTTAGCCAGAACCCAGGGACAATTGTGCCATCAGGAACAGGGGAAGGTGCAACAAATAGTTAAGTTATTCAACATGGTGTATGGTTTCTTTCAAAAAGAAAAGGCATAGTCGCTAGATTAAAACTGTATGCCTTTATTCAACATAAAATGAGTCACTAAAATACAGTTTGTCCATGTGCAGAGACATTATTATACATTCAATTCTGAAGAAAGTCGTTTTATACAACCAATTAAAGGAAAAGTCTAAAAGTGAGAGGAATAAAGACAATATTGAGAGGGAGCTAAAAGGCAGAGTTTTACCTGTCAAAGTGCTAAGGCCTATGTGCACAAAGATTTTAGAGTGAACAAGACCAATATAAGGTCATTCATTCCATTCTGATTTCTCTTGGTGCTGGTGAAAGTCTTACGGTGTGATGCAATGAGTCACATAATTAAGATGGTTTTTGAAATAATAGGTCGTAGCGCTTATGGCTAAGAGGAAAGTTTTTAAGTTCTAGAGTTTCATTTGTCATGTACTCTAGATCTATCAGGGACTCCAGACATTTCATGGATTCTCTTAAGAACAAACGTGCCCTTCGATCAGTAGTTTATCATCAGAGAACAAATTATCAAATCCTTCCCAGCTCAGGAGCTATATCGCCTTATGCAACACAAAGTAAATCAAATTTGAGACTCTGGAAGAGGTTCCTTAATCTAAAGCTTATGCAGTGATTACATAAATGTTCAGCTGGGATCACTACTGAATGCTCCAAATTGCTATTGCCGGAAAATCTAAACTGGAAAGAATTGCTGACTTAGGGTCAAAGTCCAACTCCATCATTTCCAAGCTCTTGGTACCTGACAACATTAGACACTGGTTTTTGAAAAGAACTGACCCAAGAAATGTAAAATTTGATGTATCACACTTTCCATAGGAAGAACACAGGCTGTGTGTAAAATAACAGTTCTAAAATATCTTCAGATATTTTGATAGCATTCATTGCATTGCTTTTTTTTTGGGGGGGGGGTTAGTTTGAAATACTTAAAAAGAGGGCCCATGATTAAAGTTAATAAAATGAAGTGTTGACTGAAGTTAAAGTGTTTATGAGCCAACATCTGCGTATCTTAATGTACACAAGTGCACAACCCTAAATCGTGATCAGCAGCTAAAGCTGACACTACAATTCAATAGAAAACCATTACTTAGTCCACAAAATGTCTCAAATCAAATTCCATGTTCCACTCATGACAATTCGACATTATTATTGGAACCCAAAATCTTAAAAGAGAATAATCCCAAGTTTTCTTAAATCTATCTTAAATCCAATTTTGGATTTACCTTTCTTCTCCCCTAGGCATTCTCTTGTTTTTGCAGTCAAGATGAAATCATCTGTTAATATCCTAGCTTCTTCTGAGTTTGAAGAACCAGTTAAAATGAGTTCGAAGTTACTCTTCAGGAGAACCCAGTATCTAGTCAACGACCATCTCCAGCTCTCTTCCAGGTTCAGTCTGTCCTTCCTGTTAAAGAAAATCTCGCTAGGAGATTCTCCTTGTATGTTAAGACTGAGCTACATGGCGGTATAGAGATCCCTTAGTTTATATAGTCCTCATGAAAGAAATCCAATCTGCCATTTAAGGTCACCAAGTATTAGGAAAATATAGGATTACCCATCCTCCTACTTCCTGGACAGAGTTGAGACTGAGTTACATACTGGAATACACCTAACACTTCTTTGAAAGGTGAATATGGGCATTTTTGGCATACAGAATTCAAGTTGCAAATCCAGTCATCCAGGATGGAGATAAATGACAAAGGAAATTCAAGAATAAGCACTGACAAAATACAATGATTTATGCTTTTAAAAACTTCTACCAGAAAGTCTTAAAGAATGAGGATTTTGGCCACTAAAAAAGGCTAGGGTTCTGCTGAAGACTCTTTTAAGTTCTGTGACTTACAGAAAAAAGCCAATATATTAGAAAAAATCACTAATTTTATCCATTATGGAGGAAAAAAACGGATGCAACCTCTTCAGTGATATACTTCCTTCCCACTAGACCACCAGATAAAGATGTTTTTTTTTTCTTTTTAGCTTCTTTTGGGTTATTATTTGAAGGAATTAGTTGAACCTAAGATAAAGCATCTTTACTGATATACTGACCAGACATAATGCAAAAGGATTGCTTTTGGCCAGATTCTCTCAATTTAGATAATATTAAGAGATTTCTTGAAATTTCTATTAAAAACCCTGAATCTTCCAATGATAGTTCTCAACAGCGGTAAATCTTATTAACATGGCTCCTCACTTCCACATTGTTGTTTCATCTAAGGGCAATGCCTTTCTTCTTTCTTCGTGGCTTGTCACAGTTTAGTTCAGTGCCTCAAACACATCTATTACTCATTTACACTTAAACTTCCAACACATGTTGGTAAATGTGTAGCACGTATTCCTCATTGAGCCCTGACCTAGACACATGCTGTATGGTTAGCAAGACCATTCAGTTTGCATGGCTGCTTCTGTTTACCTGTGCATAGCCAGGGCTTTAGTGCAGTGCTTAGCACGTAGGTGTTTGAATATTTGAATTAGTAAATAACATGATTTGTACACAAAAACAGCTAGAAATATTATGCAAAATCTGATTTCTGAAGACCACTTGTTGTCAAGTAGTGTCAAAAACAAAGGACACAGATTTCTAAGACTGTGATGTCAATAAAATTGGGGACTCGGGTAAAGCTGTGTTCTGGTACATTGCTTTCTCACACAACTGCAGACCAACCAACCGTACCTTTAGGCTCCTGTGTCATTACCTGAATATAAATTTTTCTTCCAGTGAGGTAGGCAGCCAACTTAAATAAATATGTACCAGGAAGGGGTAGAGGAGGTCTACTGTAAATGGTCCATGGAATGCTTCACATACATTTAAATATTTCACCTTCATTCCTTTCATGGGAATTATGAGAATGCAGATGTTCCCTGAGACTTAAGAATTTCCTTCAGAAATAGTATATTTTCAGTAAAGATTTAGAGTTCTGTTCTTTTGGATGGCTAACCTATCTCCGACGTCTTTGGGCAACTCTGATGTTTGAAATGTCTTTGAAAATAGTAAGGCTGTCTTTTAAAAAGTATTCCATCTATCCTTATTAATTTCAAAATATGCTATTTTTATCAGTGAGAACCACCACAGCTGAGCAATTTGGGAGAGAACTAGTGAACTACAATAAAAAGTCAGTTTCATGGGTCATTAAGATACATTTTTGAAATTTTGACCTTATTTTCTTTCAGGTCATCTATAAATCTATATATTATTCTTTTTTAAAGAATGGGCTGTATACATTTCCAAAGACTATCTAGGTATCATTTTGCTTCCTCAAGCATATCCTAAAAACAAGTATTTACAACCACAAAATTACGTTCTAGGACATCAGGATTCCAGATTATCTCTAGGTAAAAGACTATGGACAATTAACGTCTACTAACTTTTCTCATTTTCACAAATGCCCTTCTAGACACTAGGGAGATCAAGATCCAAGTTCACCTAGCTCTTCTACTGCTCCAGATCAGGGACATTAAAAAAAAAAACAAAACTGGCTTTGAAACTCATTTCTCAGAGAAAAACTGGAAAACAGGAAAAAAGCGTCCTATTACCTTCATGAGATGATTTCTTCACATAGCCCTGGCCTGGAAGGCACTGGTAGTGAATGTTTGCTAATGAATTATTAACCACTGTGGAGAAAGAAAAACATATTTTCCCCTTGACATATTTTCTTACCATTCTTTGTTTTAGAAGCAAACAATGGGCATATTAAAAAAAAAAAAAAAGTTTTTTTTGTTTTGCTTTGTTTTACTTTCCCAGTGACATCAGGTGGTGAAGAGATAAAACAGTTCAAAGGTAAAAACAGAGTCGCACAGATTAAGAGAATTTAATATTTTACTAGAGTTCTCAAAGAAATATGTTACCCTGATTTATCACCAAAGTACTCATTTTACTCCCTTCTGTACAATCTGTGGTAATCTTAGTAATATAAGGCAACAAACTGAGGGCCCTTACCCACGCCACTCTCAGATGTATGTCAGACCTCAAGATTCACCAAAAACTCCAAAGTTTTTATTTTCACTTTAATTATCTTTTACTTAATAAAATGAAAAATAATATATGAATACATACAATCTATATACATATATTTATTGCAAATACTTAAAATTCTTATGTAAAATGATTTTTCTATATTTGTGAAAAAATATGACTTTTTAAATGGTGTCGACACCAACTTCTCTGTACATACCCTCAATTCCAATGTTAACAATTCCTTTAAAAAGGCAAAAGACACAAAAGTTTAGCATTTACCAAACCAGTCTGTACAAACCTTAACAGCCAGAAAGAAAAAAAATAGCTTGCAGTAAATAAGTCAATTTTCTTTTAAAATCAAAAACTCCAAAACCATTCCCCTTATTGCATTTTTTTTTGGAAATAACCTAAGTGTCTTTAGAGTAACTTCCTTTGAAGTCATTTGTGCCTTAACGGTGAGGTCCTACATCAAACATACCATATGTGAGAAATTCAGTCTTTCACTGTCACTTTTTACATAGATATTAAAATATATATTACTTAAAATATATTACTGGAAAGGTATTTTAAAATTGATCTTTAATAGCTGTATCAAATGTAAAGCATTAAAAAAAATAAAGTCACCAAGAATCTATGAAGATCTTACTTCCAACTTTAGGAAATGTTTTACCTACTGTTTTCTTTCAATAGTTATGTAGGTATTGAAACATGGTAGGAAATATCCCTGCCCATTATCATGTTTCTCAGTCTCTTTGGACTATTCTATAAATTGAGCTGAAAACTACCCTCGGCCAAGTTTTTTACTTAGCACATCGTTGTAAAGCAACGGGGAGACTTTCCCTCATTGCTGTGAAGTGAAACCAATAGGTCAGAGAAAACCACCCTGGCACTGCTCATAGATAATAAGTTGCAGAAATAAATAGCAGTGTGCTGACCAGAGACAAGCCCCGCCCCCCCAACATTATTATAACAAATCATTTCACCCAAGAATGTTTTTAAAGACTCTAAGGCAGAGAAAGGCAATACTAAGTAATTAGGATGGTGACTGTCAGGTCACTAATATGTAGGAATTTATACCTTCACCTGGAAGGCAATGAGGTCTGCCTTTGGCTATTTATTTAAATGTGAGATAATTCCTGAAACATATCCATCTGCGTGCCTTTCCAGCCTACCATGCAAGTATGCTTCCCCTACCCCAAGACAAATTTCACATCTGTCAGATTTTATCCTTTAAAATGTCACATGGGATACCACAGATAGCTTCGGTATCCTGAGCACAGGGCTGAAGGAATAAAAGTAGAGCAAACACCTCCAGGTTATTTGGCTTTATTTTCTACTTAATAGGATGGAGAATTTTAATCAAAATTCTTTAAGATTTAACATTCAGGAAACCTTCTCTGCTAGACAACTTAGCATATTCGTGAGACTGAGATGATATAGTTAATGCTACCTGCCCAAGGTGACCTGCAGTGAAGGGTATCTGAAGGCTTGAGAAGCACACCCTGGAGGCGTAATGCCTGACTAGTCACTGGAAATAGTGCAACTTAGTACCATAAAAAGAATCTTAGCGCTTACTAGAAAAATTTTGGACTGAATTGAAAAGTAAAGTAATTCTGAAAACCTACGATAAAAATTGCTTTAAGGTTACTGGAATACCATATTCTAATAATTAAAAGATTTTCTTGTTCCTAATGCTTCATTTTCAAAAGGCCCAGATTGTTTTTTTTTTTTTTCTGTTCAGCTCGTAAGATGAGCAACTTTCTACTTGAAATCACTGTTTTGAAACAAACTGATAAATAGAATGTATTCAATTTACTATTGACCTACGAGAACCTAACTATTCTCTCATCTGGACAATATTGAGGCAGTGTACCTATTTGACAATTTGTTTAAAGGGCATTCATAAATGCAAATATTTGATTAGCTGGATATTATTTAAGAAAATCTAGTTAATAGTAATGCTTAGGACCATCTGCAAGAGCTTGGGTCAAGATGAAGAGGCACGATATGGTTTGCTGTCTAAATGGACCCGGAAATCCCTGATGCCTTTCCTCCTTTCCTGATTAGTCTGTCCATCCTCAGATTAAGGGAATCATAGAGGAGAAACTCCTTATGATCGGAAAGGTGCAAAGAAATCACTTTAATTAATTCAAATTGGTAATTAATGTTTAGCATGGCGTCAGTTCTGAAACCCCCAGCCACAGGTCTTTTTTCATCTAAGGTTCTGAAATTTTGGGAACAGAGCCATGGTTTCTGTTTCCTACTGGTTCTTGGCTGGAGAACTTCAACTTTATCCTTGGATCCTTGCAGGTTTCCTATCTCTTAGCTATGTGTGTGCTGGAAGAAAAGGCAAGTTAGAAGGACATCTAATTGTCCTGGCTGAAACTAGAACACAGATATTAATCTTATATTTACCTTGGGCCAGAAAAGAAACAGAAACAAAAAATGAAAAACAGTGAAGTAATAAGTTTCTTAGGGAGTCTGAGAAAGAAGTATTAAAAGAGTGTATAACGTGGAGGGTGGAGAGGAGGGTAGCAGAATGGGGGCAAAGCAAAAATTACTACTACCTACTTTCTCCTAATCTGGAATGTGACTTAACAAGTTACACTGCTCTCCATGGTGTAAATATCACATCCTGAATATTAAGTACAACTACAACTGGACTAGGTTACAGTAGTGTTTTTACTTTACACACTTGAAATCAGGAAACTTGAAATCAATATGCAAATGGTGCACATTGACAACACTCGATTTTTAAATATCAAATTTTGGTAAATTGTAGATGTTCTTTAACCATGCCTTAAATATATGTACTCAAAAATTCTTTAGTCACTAGATACAGATTAAAAACACAACAAAAAAGAATAAACAAAAACAACAAAACTCTGGAGGTAATTTTTCTCCTTTCTAGATGTTCCCTTGGATATTCACTGAAGCCCCTTTATATCAGAAATTTCTAGTGCACAAACAGCAGTAATCCAAGAGGGGACATATTTTTTATAACGGGAAAAGTATATGACTTTCATTGTATGCGTGTATACGTGTGTGCATATGTGTGTTCCAAATAACACATGAAAAGATTACTCCATACTCCTTAGATGCCTGGGAGGCCAAACCAGGTTTAACGGAATGGGCAAATGTGGCATTAGTGAGCTTTTCTACCTGCAGCAACAGCTGACTACAGAACATTAAAAGTAATGGGTTGAGAGAGAAGAAAAAAGAGGCTATCTTGTTTCTAATATTAAAATTCTTTTCCAAAGTTCACGTTCAGTTTAACTGTTTCTGCACCTTTACTCCCCTTGCCCAACAAAACACATGGTTCAAGTCACCCATTGCTAACACTTCTCTTAATTTTAGTATTTCAAACCTGTTTGCAAGCTCCCATGAATAAGTAATTGTATATTATTGCTAGAACTGTTGCCCTGCCCCAAACTACGGTAGTACAAGGCACCGGAGAGCATACCCTTCAAGGCCCACACCCACTGTTTCAGGGCAGGGGAGTGGGGTTAGGGAACAGCAGGGATCCACAGATTGCCAGCACAGTGCTTGGCAACTGTACTGGTTGATGGAAGCCAAGAACCAAGAGCTTTCATAGTTTGAAGTACTAGCTGTGAAATTAATGCCTTATCAAAAATCTGAACTTAAGAAGGTTCCATCTAAAGTAAAGGGACTGAGTAAACCCTGAATCCAAATTCTGCAAAGGCTGAATAATCCAGGTAAAGCCTACTGTCAGATGGTCAAGACATAATCAACATGAATGGTCACTTCTCCAGACCATTCCTTCACTCTTCCTAGCCTCTTAGGAAATGACAGAAGGGAGACAAGCTTCCTTTCGTCACGCATGGCATTTAACTTTTCTCAGAATCACATGAAGTGGAACATAAATCTGAATTTAAATAATACATTATTACCTAAACACTTGGGAAAATGTTAAAACAAAATGTGACATATTTACATGATTTTGTAAGTGCAAACGTCACAATTTCATAAAGTCTCGCTCGACTAAGACTATACAAGGTGCTCTTCCTCTAAAATGTAAGATCTGTACTCTGTATTCCTGATTAAGTAACAGCTGTCTCTTAAGACAATTGAAACCTACTTGTTTATTTCTGTGATTCCAAAAGGACGCAAAAAACAAATCTCGTCAACCCTTCCCTTCCTGCTTCCTTTACAGTGCGTTCTTTCTAGTCTCGTTACCGAACGACAAGGCACGAGACACACAGTTTAGAGGGGCCAATGCAATCATCGTGGCAGAACGCTCCACACCCCTTGCACATGATCATGGCTTTCAATCGGCAGTAACATTTTGAAGGCGTGTCCTCTATGCTGTTCTCTTCAGGAAAGGCCTGAACAGGAATGGTCTGGCCATGGCTGCTGGGATTCATAGCTTGGCTAGCAGGGATGGTAGTGACAGTCACTGAAAAGGACATGACATCACCTACGTTACTAGATACCTGGCTACAGTCAGGCATCCCCGGTACGGCAGAGTTACGGTCCATGTCTGATGAGGTGGAGACATTGATCATGCCTCTGTAGCTTGGCCCAATCTGAGTGGGGCTTCCATACAGCTTTGGGGTTTGCAGTGGTGGAAGGAGGAGAGGCTGATGGGTGGGACTGTCTGCAGGTGGAGGAAGAGCAGTAGAATTGAAAAGCTCGGGGCTGCTATGCATTGTTTTACCTCTCACTGCATGAGCCATTTGCTTCTGTGCTGCCTGAATAAAATCTCTGGCTAGGGTCTTTTCATCGAATGTTTGGCCTCTAGTGAACAGATAATTCTCCTTGCTTAAAGTGGTTTGCTCATGCACTTGTGTCTCTGCCTTGACATTCTTTTTAGCTAAACAATCATTGGTGGATAGGGTTTCTCTACTGTGGGGTCCTGAACTTGCTTCACACTTGCCAGAACTCTGGGAAGCCCGGGGCTCCTCCTTCACCGTGACAGATTCTTGCTCATCACCAGTACTTTCCTCATCAGTATCTTCTTCTTTGCTGCTGCTACTGTCTCCTATTGCATTTTTACAGTCTGTGTATCCCATTTTCAAGGCCTCACTGGGGCTACTCAGACAAAGCCGGTCATCGGGGTTTAGAGAATGGGTCCTCCTAAAGCTCTCTGAACCCCGGCCATAGGTGGAAATGTTAAGTAAGTAGTGGCCTGCCATTGCAGGCTTCGATGTCCTTCTACCAGCAAAACCCAGCATGAACCTCTGGCTTGTGGAGATATCTTCTAACTGGAAACCTGAGTGAGTAAAGTTGAACTGGGAAGGCTGCACAATTGAGAGAACATTCTGCCTCCGAATTTGAACCCTTTGGATGAGAGTCTGAAGGATCTGATCTTGGGTTGCTTTACTCAGTCCTTCTTGGTGTTGGTGTGTGTCAGTGCTAGAGTCCCTCATATCCTTACCTGAAAAGAGTGGAAGGGGTCTCGGAACCTGGGGGAGATGCTTACTTTGCAAGGTTTTACCCAGTTGCTGTACAGCTGGATGAGACTGCCTCTCATGAACTTCCTCTCTGGTGCTGTTCTCTGTTACGTTGGTGCCTGTGGGTGCTCCTGGCCCTGGTTCCTCTTTTGTAGTCAGTGGAACAGTTTTCATTTCGACTTTGGTGAGAGGTTTAGGCAGAATTTGCTCCATGGGCACATCTTTGCCCTGGAGCAGCTGAGTGACCAAAGGATTATTAGCAGGGATACTGGAGCTTGGCCGTGAAATGGGTCCATTCATATTTGAAGAAGTTCCTGGAGTTTTAAGGCTAGGAGCTGCTGGCAAAGTGCTCAAAGATGTAGCTGACCCGGTAGGTGCTACAGTTACACTGACCTGGGGTAGAGAAAGCTTTTCTAAAGTGGCTGCTATTAATAAAGATGTTAAAGGAGAAGAAGTCAGATCCACTGTAGCCCTAGCCGTTGTCTCTGCTGAGACTAAAGGGTTTGGTGTATTCTTACTAGAACCAGCTTTGGGCTCAAGTGTGCCATCAGCCGCAAAATAAACAGGTGAGGCACCTGAGATTAGAGCAGGACCTGTCAGAGCAGAAGGTACTTTCTCCTGCCTGCAATTACTGGGCCCCTGTAGGTGGCTAAGAGAGGCCACTGTGGCGATTGCCCTGGTGGGATTCGGTTTCTCATTCAGTTTCCCTAAAGCTGGTGGGGGTGCGTTACTGTGAGCTGGTGATGGGACACTTGTGCATGCTCCACTGATGGCAGATGTTGGAGGCACTGAGGGGGTTTGCTGTAGTTGTGCTCCAGAGACACTATGAGGCTGTGCCGGGCCTGTGGTCTTGGTCTCAGATTGGGGTTGAGTCTCTGAACCACAGGGTAAAAGCTCTCTCGTACCTCCCCTGCTTCCAGTTCCTGCCAGTTCCAGTGTGGGGCCCTTTCCAGTTTCACTGACTCTGTCTGAGTCTGAACTTCCTCCTCTAGCGGTGTTCCTTTCACCACCCTCTCCTGGACCTTGTCCACCCCCTGGGCCAGGTCCTGGAATGGTCCCTCCAACTGAGGCGGCTGCAGCGGCTGCGGCTGCGGCGGCAGCTGCTGCCCTCTGTGCTTTGACCAGCTGGGCTTTTGCTTTGATGTCTGCAAGAGTTCTGGCTCCTGTTCTGTTAGGACTAGTGATGGAGACTGGAAAACGAGCCCTGGGAGAGACCTGCGATGTAGGAAACGGCATGGGGGAGATTCTGGAGACCGGGATCTGAAAGAAGTGGGGGAGAAAAAACCAACAGAGCTTAGTTTTCATTTATAAGAATAACAAAATCTCATTGACACTTACATGTTTAGAGTAAGGTGACAAAGACGGCAGGTCTCTGGCTGAGAGACCAAACCACAGAGACAGCAACATGATTTTATTTCCATGTGCCTTCTAACTCTTCTATTGGTGCCAAAGACTCTCTTCCACTCAACATCCACTCTCACCTCAAAATCCCAAACCTCTCTCCAACATCAACTCTCTTCTATGTCACAACTACTCACAAGAGTTTATTATATAGGAAACAGACCATTCTACAGTATCTGCATTTTAAAATGTGTATGTGAGAAGAGAGAGAGAAAGAAAGGAGTAGCATATGACTACTGTCTTTTACTTCTTGTTTTACTACAAGATCCAGGGGGGAATTCTTGCTCTCTTCTGTTCTATACGCGCACATACACAGACAAGCATATAGGCTGAATTATCGCGAATTACAGCAGCTTCTAGATCACACTGGAAGGATAGCGTGTGATCCACAGGTGGACTCCACTCTGCCCACCCACATGAATGTATATAATATATATAATGTTTACCACAATCATTTTTATCCCTGGTTAGCATTATACTTACCTGTGGAGCTTTTTAAAAATATATATGCTTTGAGTCCCATCCCAAAATTTATAAATTAGAACCACTAGGGGGAAAAAAAAATGCTTTTCTAAAAAGATTCTTGTGAGATTCAGATGCAGTATCAGGTTTGAAACCACTGATTTTCAGGTCATAAAATACCATATCTGAAAGGAATCTGACTTCTGTTCAAAACAACCTGAGCTACTGGAATTTAAGAATGCATTAAGAGTCTAGTTAAGCTGGTAGAGTTTAAAGAAGCAAATAAATAACTGTTATAGATGTTCTAGGGCATTTAATTTAAAAAAGAAAAATCAAGCCACTGAGCTCTAAGAAAATGCACGTCATTTTTCTGGAAGTCCTTAAATTAAGAATAATAAAGTCACTACCGCAGGAACAAACAGATAAAACTAGAAAATTAAATATAAGAAAGTAAAAGCACAGCTATTTGGGGGACAAACAATCTTGAGTGTAACAATACACCTAGCACAATAAATGATACCTATCATAACAACTGAAAATCATTAATAACATGTTGATGAAATAAGGACAATATTAAAAGTGGTTAAAATCAAAAGTTTTAATACTCATTTTAAGATAAGTTCCAGTTATCTATGTAAATAGCCCTTTTATCTGTTTACGTGGAATAAATGAGACATTATACTTTTTTTTAAGCACATACTACTCAAAGTTGTCTAGGCACTGATAACAGTTTAACTTATCGAGAAGACCTACCCTGTATAGCAGAAGAATTAAGATTTTCTCTTTAAATATATACTGAATGGAAAATATACAATGTGCTTTGGAGTTTTCCATCTCTTT